GATTGGTATATTCAAGTCAGAGGTGCACATGAAAACACCATTGTTTCTCAAAAGTGTAGTGTATAGCACACCTGAAGAAAATATCAGACAAGTTATTCAAATGTCCACTCAAATTCTACCCTAGGAATCTACACTTTAATCTTCCCAGGATTGTCTTATGCATGTAAAACAAACGAGGTTAGGTACTACGTTAGGTGAACCTTGGGACAGGTCTGTTGAGCTTTCCTGATTGTTATAGCTCAGGAATGTCGGGGCAGGCAAATAAGCAAATATCAAAGCTGCAAAATTTATAAGATAAGGGAGATTGTAAAACTGAATATTTAGATAATTTCCTTTTAATCAAAATTGTAAAATTCGAAGAATTGGAGACACAATTTCCTTTTAAAGACATTTGCTTTGATAGGCATAACATTTGCCATTACATGTGATACCTGCATGCCACGTGTTCCCTAGAAAACACTGATGATCAACAGTGTTATTTTTGGAGGATGGTTCCATAGATCTGGTTTTGAACCAGTATTCTGAATGTCCCATATCTCCTCCAAGAGACACATTAGGAACAAGATGACTTCATCAGTTTCTCACAAAACCACCTCCACTACATTGTATGGCCACTTGGATATGTGTCTTTATTGAAGGTCACTGAAAGAAACAATGGTAGGAACTCCAAGATATTTCAAAATTTTGCCCAAAATACATGTGAAGCTGTGTGATCTAGAGTTTAAGTGGTGATTCTCAAAGTGTGATCTGAGTTCCTGAGACTTTTTGAGGGGTAAACAAAGTCAAAACTATTTTCATAGAAACACTAAGATGTTATCTGTGTTTCACTCTCATTCTCTCCTGAGTGCAGAGCAGACTTTTTCAAAGGCTCGATGGCATGGTATGTCATCACTTTGACAGCTATGGAATAATGCTTTGATATTCTTGTGTTTTCTAGCATTTTCCAAAATAGTGGGTTCAGGGTATATGTGCATTTTCAAACATTAACTCCATTTTCTCTATTTCTTCTGTGCTGTTTTGGTACTTTTTTGGCTATGATCTCTGTATCTTCATCATCATCCAATGAATTGTTATTTCGAAACCCTGAAGTTTTCTTTTTATGCAGAAACACATCAAGAATAAACTTTCTTGTCTTAGTTTGTAATAGTACTCTTGAATTGTTTTTGATACATTTTCTAAATTTAAAAATCATTTTTTTTTTTTTTTTTTTTTTGAGACGGAGTTTCGCTCTTGTTACCCAGGCTGGAGTGCAATGGCGCGATCTCGGCTCACCGCAACCTCCGCCTCCTGGGTTCAGGCAATTCTCCTGCCTCAGTCTCCTTGAGTAGCTGGGATTACAGGCACGCGCCACCATGCCCAGCTAATTTTTGTATTTTTAGTAGAGACGGGGTTTCACCGTGATGACCAGGATGGTCTCGATCTCTTGACCTCATGATCTACCCGCCTCGGCCTCCCAAAGTGCTGGGATTACAGGCGTGAGCCACCGCGCCCAGCCCTAAAAATCTTATATAAAGCTGATACTGTAGAATTTTATGACATCTTATTTTAAACGGAATGACTGACATACTATAAATAAATCTATATTTAGTGGTAGATTAGTGAGCTAAACTAAAAGACTCACTTTCTCAACCCATGGTTGTACCACCTATGTCTCAAGATGTTGAAAAAGATGAGACTATCATATCCTAGAATTCTCTTGACTCATGGAAAAAAGGAATAGACTCCAAGAAAACCAGTAAAACTGTAAATAAGAAATAAAATATGATAAAAACTGTCTTTTCTGTCTTTATAGATGCAAATAATTTACTTCAGACCTCTCTGAGTATAAAAAGAAAAAAAAAGAACTTACTTTTTGTGTTTTGTGCAATGAAACTTTTAGAATAGTATTATGGTGCCAATAAGTTGCAGCATCATTTTGAATTAAATAAGAAGGAGGAGGAGGGGGAATTGGATATTTTAAAAATAGACAAGATAAATTCTTTAGAGACTAAAAAAAAGTCACAACTTTTCAAACTAGAAATTCAAAAGCCACTGAGGTATTTAAAGGCTAAGTTACATGTTGCATTGACTGAAGGAGCACACCAGTAGCTGAGACACCAATAAAGCCTTGTATTGTTTACCTTGCTGAGTGTCTGCTGCATGGAAAGTTAGTAAAAGGAACCACTGCAGTGACATTTTTCAGCAATACCGAAACACATGCCATTACCGTTTTAGTTGTAAATATGAAAACTATGTTAATATATCATTTGCAGCATCAGGAAGAATAGCTAATGGATGCTAGGTTCAATACCTAGGTGATGGGATGATCTGTGCTGTGAACTACCATGGCACATGTTTACCTGCATAACAAGCCTGCATGTGTACCCTGAACTTAAAAGTTGGGAAAAAATATATCATCTACAGAATTGTATTTTGTCTTGCAGAAGGGTGAATCTACTGACAGTACTAAACTTGCGTTTTGCTTGTATTTGACCAGGGTGAGCGTCAACTCATTGTTGAAGATTTTCTTCTATACGAATGGTTGGCAACAAATGCAAATGGTTCTGAAATTTTCAAACTGTTGAATAGTTCTTTTGAATCTCATGGTTTATCCTGAAACAACCTAAGAATATCCTTAATGAAGCTGTAAGGTTAGCATTAATTAATTTTCATTACTGGTGAAATTATCAATTGTATTCATCCTGACCTTGAGTCCACTTCTTACTAATCTAGGATATTTTCATGCTGGCTCTTCCATCTGCTGCTTCTCAGAAACTCTATCCCTGAGAAGCTCTTGATCTGTTTACTCGCTTCATCTCCCTGACTTGTGAGCTTCTTACCTTTAAAACACAAAAGCTAACTTCTGTCTTACAGAATTACGGTGGGGATAAAGGAAGACAATCATGTGACTTTTTGTAAGTCACAAGGCAATCTAAAGGTATAATTAGAACATCTTATTTTTAGATCTGAACTAATCTTGGGGTCCCATCAGGCAGTAGAATCGAACCCTTGAAGTCCTTTATCCTTTCCATCTAACTGGCTTCACATAGTTTCATACTCCAAGATTCTGATCATAGTCAGAAATTAGATAATGATTCCATGCATTCTATACCCTGGCTTCTGTAAATGAATTGTTTACAAGATGGGTTAAGAATCTATTTGCTATACTTCTGGTCTGCCAATATCCCTTATCTCTACTTTATTCTAACTCTGTGACAGTTTTGAAGTGAAAAAGATAATCGATACTATCCACCTGCTTGGGGAGTTTTGGTGTATTAATACTTTTCCAATAATGTAATTTATGTGGCTTTTCCTTTTTATTCAAATCCAAATTAATTCTCAACAGAAAGATTTCATTTTATTACTAAAATTCTGGATTATTGTGGAAGCTATACCTTATTTCCATGCACCTTGCCTACAAATACTGTTGTAACCAAGCGAGAGCGAAATCACCACTGAGACAAAGCCTAGGCCAAATTACAGGGTTTTTATTGCCGGTGGCTATGGAGGACTCATGTTTCTCTAGCACACGGCCCCGAAAGGCGGGTGTCAAGACCTTTTATGCCCATAAACCACCTCCTGGGCGGGGGTAGGGGTGAGGGGCTTTGGACATTCCAAGGGCCAGTAGACTTTGGACATTCCGTAAACCACCTCCTGGGTGGGGGTGAGGGTGAGGGATTTTGGACATTCCGATTGTTACTTAAGTGGTTTACAGAAGTCAAGATAAGCGTTAGTTTACACATTGTCTGGGTAGGGTGGAAATTACAGACCTTGGTTACTTATTACAAGTCGCAGGGGCCAAGATGGCATGGGTTTGCACTGCTTGCCTGTCACCTTAGGGTTAGAGAGAGCAGTTTCAATGGAAAGCTGAGGTATGGTCGAGGTATGCAGTTTTATGGGGCAATTGCCATGTCACATTCCCCCCTTGTTTTATTTACAGGAATTAAATCATTGATTCCTCCAGCAAGTTAGTATTGTTTGTTCATTCTAAGGGCCCATATTGAGACCTTAATATCATTAATTTTACAGAGTCTACCCTAGATTTAATGAACCTGAGCAGTTGGTTTAGGAGGCAGGGGCCAAACATGAGTCCCAGTAGGAGAAGGGCCAGAGGTCCCACCAGGCCCATAAGGAGGGAAGTGAGCCAAGGGGGCCAGGAAAACATTTTTTGATACCAACTTTCCGAAGCTTCTCGAAGTTTTCTGGTTTCGAGATTCTGTCTGACCAGGGAGAGGCTCTCTTGGATGACGCCTGACCTATTAGCATAGAAGAAACACTGTTCATTAAAGGCAGCACATAATCCCCCTTGTTTTAAGAATAACAAATCTAGTCCTCACCTGTTTTGGAGGATGCTTTCAGCCAACGACTTAACCTGATCAGTGAATTGGGAAATGGAGTTTTCCAAGTGGCTTAAATCAGTATCTATATGCTGAGAGGGAGTTTTAAAATTTTGGTCCCCGGTTTTAAAAGCTGATATTCCAACTGCAGTGGAGCCAGCAATACCTAATCCAACCAGTAGAGGGATGACGATAGGGACTCGCTTCCATCGGGCAGTAATAATATCTGATGGGGCCAGGAGGCTAAGTCCCTGTTGGCCATCATAAATGTCGACTCTGGGAAGGATGTGTACCGGGGTGCAGAATATGGGAGCAGAGCTGCTGAATTTGTATGTGGAAATGCAGTTGGTGAGGCCAAAGGTGCAGGCTAACCAAGTGGTATCTGGGGCCCGATAGTAAAGGTTTGTACCATTAAATGTTACATTGTGGGAAGTATTACAATAGTGTCCATAGGGAGAACCTGCAAGGGTGCAATTTGGGGAGTGGCAACAGTGCCCAGACCCTTCTGTGTCTCCCGGGGTTAAATGGAGTGTGGATTGGGAGCATGAAGAAATGGACAGGTTGGCAGGTAATTGGGAAGCCAACCCGGTATAAAACGGCGGTTGAGGGTTTAGACAGAGCCAAGTCTTTCCCTAAATCTGGGTTAGACTTGTTGAGGAGGTGGTGAGAAGGTTAGCAGGGTTGTGTCCTCTTTGAGCCGAGTTGGGGTTGTAGGGGAAGGTTGTTGAGGGGGACTATTGATTGTCTGGATGAGGGGGCTTTGTATTTTTAGGGGGGCTTCTTGTATGACCTGAGCAACGGGTCCTATAGGGCAGTTGGGTCGGGGCGGGGTTATATGCTGGATGGTAAAGATGTTTCCCATGTCCCACCCACTCATATATACCCTGAGACCCCAGTTTTGCCCTGTTGTCCATCTACCATCTGGGGTAGTTACAGTTATCCTGAGTGGGTTACAAGACCTGGTGTAGCATGGGGATGGGGGAAGAGCCTCAGTTAAAAGAGATGAAGGAGTCTATGTTTTTGGTGTACCCTGATATAGTGGAGATAGTTTCACAACCCCAGTGGGGGCAGAAGAATTCATTTAAGTCCCCACAGTTCCATCTTTTTTGTGGGGTGGATCCCGGGCACAGACATAACCCCATGGTCTGGAGTTGCTGCTCTGCCCCTGAACTGTCACACCCCGCTACACCTCCACTTGTTCTGAAATTTAGGTTGGGGCCCAGGGGGGCACAGAGGTCCAGGGAGAAGGCAATGGGGTTCTCTGGAATGTACTCCAGGGTTAGGTTGACTAGGGTGGATCCCTTCCCGGTTAAGGAACTAACATATCCTCCAGTGGAGCCCTCAGTGAGGACCCACTGATAGTAGGTGGGTTCTAAGGGCAGTTTGCTATAGGGATTTACAGCAAGGATTAGGGTGGTGACCGCGAAGAGCACACATGTCTTAGCTTTAGTGAAACGGGGGATGAGTGTTTAATGCTCCATTGTCCTTCCGGTGGGGTAGTCTTGACGTGGGTGTGATGAATCCAGGCCGTTAGTCCGTCCACCTTGAGTGCAGCGGGTGTGGTCAGGATAACCGTGTAGGGTCCCTTCCAACATGGGGTGAGGCTCAGGTGGCGAATCTTTTAACAAGGACAGTCTCCAGGCTGGAAGGAAGGGGTGTGTTGGCTGGTCTGTGAGGTCCAATGGGGTGGGACAGGTGTCCTTAATGAGCTGGCGTATCTGGGATTGAACAGACTAGAGCGCCTGTAAGGACTTAAGGAGTGTATAGTTATGGACTTTAGCATGCACGGTATCCGCGAGTCTGGAGAGTAAGGGAGGGGGGGCTACCGAACATGATTTCAAAAGGGGAGAAGCCTTTCTGATAGGGTGTGCATTGGACATGGAGGAGGACAAAAGGAAGCAGGGTGACCCAGTTTTCACCAGTCTCTAGGATAAACTTTGTCAGGGTTTCTTTTAGGGTCTGATTGATTCTTTTGACCTGTCCTGAACTCTGGGGATCATAGGCACAGTGTAATTTCCAGGATATACCCAGGGTCTGGGCTAGGCCCTGAGAAATTTGTGGAGTAAAGATGGGCCCATTGTCCAACCCCAGCGTTAGAGGGAGGCCAAACCAAGAAACAAGGTCCTGTAAAAGTTTTTTTGTGACCACCAAAGCAGTCTTGGACTTAGTGGGGAAGGCCTCGACCCATCCAGACAATGTATCTATAAACACCAGGAGGCATTTATAGCCATTTACCGGGGGTTTTATTTCGGTGAAATCTACTTCCTAGTGCTCCCCAGGGCTAGTCCCTCTGAGTTTCACTCCTACCTGGCTAGACCTGTTCCCTCCTGGATTTACTTGGGCACATACATAACACCAAGTAGTGATTTCTTTGATAAGTTTATGTAAATGGGGAATGTAGTACTTGGCTTTTAGCAGTTCAGTTAGTTTGGTCTGTCCTAAGTGAGTGGCCTGGTGTGTGTCCTTAACTAGGGCCCATCCTAGAGCCTCGGGGACCACAATCCTTTGGTCTGGCAATATCCACCATCCTGGAGTCCTGTGTGGCACCCTGTTCCTTTGCAAAGTCTTTCTCACCTGAGGAGTACGTAGGAGTAGGGGGCAGAACTGGGGCAGGTAGGGTTACAAAGAGGGTCAGTGGTTTCACTGGCCCATGGCTGCCTGCCTGGCCTGTAAGGCAGCAGCCTGTTTCCCCTTGCCTCTGGTGAATCCCCCTTTTGGTGTCCCTTGTAATGGACTAGTGCCACAGCCTTAGGCTTCCATATAGCCTCCAGCAGGGCTAGAATTTCCTCCTTATTTTTAATAGATTTTCCTTCTGAGGTAAGTAGTCCTCTTTCTTTATATATTGCTCCATGTACATGAGCTGTAGCGAAAGCATAACAGCTGTCGGTCTAAATAGAGACAGTTTTTCCCTCTGCCCAGTTTAAGACTTTTATCAGGGCTATAAGCTGAGCCTTCTGGGCTGAAGTCCCATGAGTAAGGGCCTGGGCCCAGATGACCTGCTCTAGGGTGACTATGGCTGCCCACACATACCTGACTCTGTTGAACATAAAACTGCTGCCATCTGTATACAGTACCTCTTCCAGGTTCCATAAGGGGACATCAGTGAGGTCTGGTCAAGCGGTTTGGATGACATCTATTATTTGTTGACAGTCATGTATGGGTTCTGGCTCTCTATTAGGTAGCAGTGTGGCCAGGTTCAGGACTGTAGTCTTCAGGAACTTGATGCAGGGCTAGTCCAAGAGTAGAGCCCGATACTGTACTATGTGGGCATTAGACATCCATCTTCCTGGAGCCCCGTAGAGTAGTGATTCTACTGCATGGGGTGCCACTAGGTTTAATTCCTGCCCCAGAGTCAGTTTGTCTGCCTCCTTTATCAACAGGCTGTTGCTGCCACGGACTGAAGGCAGGCTGGCCACCCAGAGGCTACAGGATCAAGTCTTTATGATAGGTAGGCGACTGGCCTGGACCATGGTCCTAATGTCTGGGTAAGCACCCCCTTCGCAATTCCTTGTTTTTCATGTACAAATAACCAGAAGTGTTTAGAAATATCTGGCAAGGCCAGGGCTGGGGCCGAAGTCAGAGCAGCTTTAAGTTTATCAGAAGCCTGTTGTTCTACTACTGTCTAAATTAGGGGTTGATTCCCTCCTGTGCAGGCATACAGAGGCTTGGCTATTTCGGCAAAACCTAAAATCCACAGCCTACACTACCTTACCGCCGGAAGGAACTCCCGAACTTGGCATTTTGTGGTAGGGGTGGGTATCTGTAGGACTGCTTGGACTTGGCTGGGTGCCAGCGCCTGGTTGCCTATTTCTATGATATAGCCCACGTAAATTACCTTTTGTTGACAGAGTTGGGCCTTTTTGACTGAGATTCGATATCACAGAGTTTGTAGGGTTAACAGTAACAACTGGGTGGCTTCCTTGCAGGCCTCTTGGGTTCTTGAGTCCAGAAGTAAGTCATCTACATATTGGAGTAGAGTACACTCAGGGAACTCGGCCCTGAAGGTGGCAAGATCCAAAGTGCCTCATCAAATAGGATGGGAGTTTTTTTGAATCTCTGAGACAACTGGGTCTGTGTGAGTTTCACTGAGACCCCAGTGTCCAGGTCCATCCACTCAAAGGTGACTATGGGTCTGCTGATTGGGGCCAGTGGGATGCAAAAGAATGCATCCTTGAGGTCCAGGATGGTATAGTAATGGTGGTTCAGGTTCAGGAGGCTTAGGAGGGTATATGGATTTGGGACCGTGGGGTCAACAATTTCTACTCTTTTATTTACTTCCCTTAAGTCTTGTACTGGCCAGTAATCCTTTGTGCCAGGTTTTAGAACAGGGAGCAGAGGGGTGTTCCAGGGTTATGTACAGGTGGTGAGAATTCCTCCTTCCAGGAGTCTTGTTATATGCGGAGCAATTCCCTGCCTGGCTTCCTGACTCATTGGGTATTGCTGTACCTGGACTGGAGCTGCTGTTGCCAACAGTTGGACCACAACCAGGGTACGGTGTTCTGCCAGACCTAGAGGATTGGTCTCAGCTGACATTCTTGGTACACTCTCTTGGAACTGGCGGAGGAGGTCTGACATTGATGCCTGATTTGTTTCTGGTGATAAAGCTTCCTGCAAGAGATACTTATCTGACAGAGCTCGAGTGATGAGGATTTGCTGAGGTGCTTTCAATATGGAGGGCAAAGGAGGGATAGAAAGGCAGGCCTGATTTTCACAGAAGGAGATGGTTGCTTGAAGTTTGTGAAGTAGGTCCTGCCCTAATAGTGGGTAAGGGCATTCTGGAAGAACTAAGAAGGAATGGATAATGGTGCCATTTCCTAAGTCAACAACTCGATTTGTGGTCCATGAACTTGTCATGGTTTTTCCTGTGGCCCCCTGGATGACTGTTTTCCTACTGGATAGTGGTCCCAGATGCTGAGTAAGGACTGAGTGGGCCGCCCTGCTGTCCACTAAAAAACTAATAGGTTTGCCTCCAATTTTTGAAGTAACCCTGAGCTCCTGGGGGCTTAACAAATAAGAGCCCTGGCCCCGTCAATCCTGACCTTCTAAATTGAGGATAGCCCTTGGTGGTTTTTCTTGAGCGGTTACTCGTCTTTTTCTCTTGGGGCACTCGTTTTTCCAATGTCCCTCTTCTTTACAGTACGCACATTGGTTTCTTCCTAGCTGGGGACCCCAAGGGCCCTTTTGCAAGGCCCCCCGCCCTTGTGGAATGGCTCTTATCTCCTGAAGAGCTGTTATTACTGCCTTAGTAACTTTTTGTCTTGTATGGCTCCAGGAATATCTCTGTTATCAAAACCTTCTGGGCAATTTCCAGAAATTGGGCCAAATTCATTCCCTGGAATCCATCTAGTTCTTGTAACTTTTTCCTGATATCTGGGGCTGACTGGGAGACAAAGCCTAAGTTAATGGCCCATTAATTTTCCAGGGCCTCAGGGTCTATAGGAGTATAGGTATGGTACGCCTCTTGTAGCCATTCTAGGAAAGCAGCTGGTGACTCCTGCAGACCCTGAGTCACTGTTCCTACCTTGGAGAGGTTGATGGGCCTCCTAGCCACCCTTAAACCCTGCTAAAAGATACCAGTGAAAAGTGTTCAGAGCCTGGTGACCCCATGAGGTGTTGAGGTCCCACTGGGGTCAGATAGAGGGAAAACACTCTTCAATTTGGTCCCAGTTCTCTTCTACTGTTCCTCCCCCTGGACCTATGATGGCTTTCAGGGCTTCCTGTCTAATTCTGCCTCTTTCCTCTGTGGTGCACAGAATCAGTAATAATTGGCAGTTGTCCCAAGTTGGGCGATAAGTCTGGAGTACAGATTCTAAGAGCCCTGTCAAAGCCTGGGGCTTCTCAGAGAATGGGGGATGTTGGGCCTTCCAATTATATAAGTAACTTGATGAGAAGGGGATATGAACAAAGAATGGGGGACCCCGATTGTCTCCTCCCTTTGGGGGTGCCTCTCAGAGAGGAAGGACCGCTGGTGGGTGTGGAGCCCCACTGTGGGTGTGCAGGGGGGACAAGGGTTGGTTACTAGTACTGTCTGGGGGAGGATGCTGAGGCCCTGATTAGGGGGGCCTTGACTATGGTGGAGGTAATTCTTGATCTGCCAGGGAAGGGAGTATGGCTGGCTCCGAAGGGGTTTTCTTGGGGCCTGCCAGCATAACTTGTAACCCAGCATGCTTTATACAGCGTTTAAGCCAAGTGGGGGGCTGTTGAACTAAGCCTAGCCTCTGGTCAATGTATGGAAAGTGATCTGGGTGCCCAGGGGAACCTGTCACCACATTCCATACAGCCTGGGTTACCTTGGGAACATATGTCCTGGTGTGTGGCCACCCCACCCCAAATGATGGCCACCCCAGTTTACACAGGGTGCGGAGCTTTTTTGGGGTTTTACCCCATACTGGCCTGAAAATCCAGCCTTGAAATTGGCCATCATGCACTGGAGTGGGGTGCAGGGCCAGGAACTAGATGATCCCATCTGTTTTTGTTTTTTTTTTTTAAACCTACCAGTTGTTACCCAGACCTGTTTGCTTTTATAGTACTCTTAGTTCTGGAAAGCATTGTACTTGTGCCTTGCCCTTTCCAGCACCAGTTTTAAGTATGCCTCTGCAGCAAGGTCTTGTAAGGAGGGGGCGACAAGCTTGATAGGCCTATCCCTGGCATGAGGCAAGGAGGTGGGCAAAAGCAGCCAGGGGTGCGGGTCGATGTCACCTGCATGGGACCACAGCAGTGAATGGTAAGCTTTTAGGAGATAAAAACCACTTTGGGACGATCTTACCTAAAATCTGACTTCTAAGGTTCTAGAAAAAGCTACAACTGAGGTGCCGGAGGGCAGAATCACCTTCTGGACATTTAAAGGAGAAAAGGAGGGGCCTAATGGTGAAAGAGGAAGGAGAATAAAGTTATTTCTAGAGGCATAAAATCAGTGAAAGTCCCCTGCAACCAATGGTCATTTAACCAATTGAGAACATTATCTGGCCTTAGTGAGGCAGGCCTAAACCACAGTAGATCCGTCAATAAGCATCTCAGAAAACTAGAGAATCTACAGTAAAGACAGGACCACATGAGAGGTAGAGAGACACAGGGTGGGTGTCCCCCATGGGAGACCAATCTGATGCCTGCCCAGCCACATCCCCGAAGGGATATTTCAGAGCATCTTGGCTAAGGTGTACCTGTATAAACCCTGGGTCTGGTCACCACAGCGGTGAATCACTGTTATGCCCTATGATGTCTCCGTGGAACCTCGGGTAGGTCCCATAGCCGCCCAGCCGTGGGACCACACATATGCGCACTCACTCTCTCACTCACACCGAGGTTATGGAAGACAACCGAAAACTGAATTACCCGAGCCTCCAGTGATGTCTCATGGTGTGCTTGCCTAGTCAGAGATTAACGACCATGTCCAGTCTCCTGACATAGGCTCCTGACGGACCAGCACCACCCCCCTCCACAATTTCCAGACCTGACTTACCTCCAGAGGTTCCCAGGACCCTGAGAACTTTGGGTGAATGTCAGTTGGGTAGTCGCCCATCTGCCCCAGAACTCTGGGGCCCTGGAATGTCTCAGGGGGCACCTCCCCTAGAGATCCCCAAGGCAGGAGCGGCCGCTCAGGTAATACTCCAGGGATTTTGTCTGAGTGATGATGGAAAAATCTCACTGCGGTCTCCAAATGTTGTAACCGAGCGAGTGTGAAATCACCACTGAGACAAAGACTAGGCCAAATTATAGGGTTTTTATTGCCGGTGGCCATGGAGGACTCACCTCTCTCTAACCCGCGGCCCTGAAAGGAGGGTGTCAAGATCTTTTATGCCCATAAACCACCTCCTGGGTGGGGGGCAAGGATATTCCCAGGGCCAGTGGACTTTGGACATACCATAAACCACCTCCTGGGTGGGGGTGAGGGTCTTTGGACATTTCGATTGTTACATAAGTGGTTCACAGAAGTCAAGATAAGCATTAGTTAGTTTACACATTGTCTGGGTAGGGTGGAAATTACAGACCTTAGTTACTTATTACAAGTTGCAGGGGCCAAGATGGTGTGGGTTTGGACTGCTTGCCTGTCACATTAGGGTTACAGAGAGCACTTCCAATGGAAAGCCGAGGTATGGTCGAGGTATGCAGTTTATGGGGCAATTATCATGTCACAATACATTGATTCTTTTGGAAGCAACCCTTTGGGTACCTGAATTGCCTATACTATACTTCTTGACTCATGCTTTCCCTAGGATTCCATCACACATTAATTCTTCTTTCTCTTGTTACTCTTGGTTTTTTGGCAAGCTCATCTTCCTTTGCCCTTTGTCCAATGTGTTGCCAATATCATCAGACCTTGCAAAGTGCCTGTGAAGTAGTCATCATCTCCATCTTCAAGAATAAACAGTAGATTGTTCCTTTTAATTAACAGTCACATGCTAGAAATCAAAGCATTTCTATACATCAATAACAGACAAACAGAGAGCCAAATCAAAAGTGAACTCCCATTCACAATTGCTACAAAGAGAATACCTAGGAATACAACTAACAAAGGATGTAAAGGACCTCTCCAAGGAGAACTACAAACCACTGCTCAAGGAAATAACAGATGACACAAACAGATGTTGAAACATTCCATGCTCATGGTTGGGAAGAATCAACATTGTGAAAATGGCCATATTGCCCAAAGTAATTTATAGATTCAATGCTATCCCCATCAAGCTTCCAATGACCTTCTTCACAGAACTGGAAAAAACCACTTCAAACTTCACATGGAACCAAAAGAGAGCCCACGTAGCCAAAACAATCCTATGCCAAAATAACAAAGCTGGAGGCATCATATTGCCTGACTTCAAACTATACTACAAGGCCACAGTCATCAAAACAGCATGGTACTGGTACCAAGGAACAGAACAGAGGCCTCAGAAGCAACACCACACATCTACAATCATCTGATCTTTGACAAATCTGACAAAAACAAGCAATGGGGAAAGGACTCCATATTTAATAAATGGTGTTGAGAAAACTGGCTAGCCTGTGCAGAAAGCAGAAACTGGACCCCTTCCTGTCACCTTACACTAAAATTAACTCCAGATGGATTAAAGATCTAAACATAAGATCTAACACCATAAAAACCCTAGAAGAAAACCTAGGCAAAACCATTCAGGACATAGGCATAGGCAAGGACTTTATGGCTACAACGCCAAAAGCATTGGCAGCAAAAGCCAAAATAGACAAATGGGATCTAATTAAGCTCCAGAGCTTCTGTACAGCAAAGGAAACCATCATTAGAGCGAGCCAGCAACCACCAGAATGGGAAAAAATTTTTGCAATCTACCCATCTGACAAAGGGCTAATACCCAGAATCTGCAAAGAACTAAAACACATTTACAAGAAATAAACAATTCAAAAGTGGGCAGAGGATATGAAGAGATACTTTTCAAAAGAAGACATCTATGAAGCCAACAAACATATGAAAAAATGTTCATCATCACTGGTCATTAGAGAAATGCAAATCAAAACCACATTGAGATACCACCTGATGCCAGTTAGAATGGTGATCAGTAAAAAATCTGGAGACAACAGATGCTGGAGAGGATGTGGAGAAATAGGAACACTTTTACACTGTTGGTGGGAGTGCAAATTAGTGCAACCATTGTGGAAGACAGTGTGGTGATTCCTCAAGGAACTAGAAATACCATTTGACCCAGCAATCCCATTACTGGGTATATACCCAAAAAATTATAAACTGTTCTATTATAAAGACAAATGCACACGTATGTTCACTGTGGCACTGTTTACAATAGCAAAGACCTGGAACCAACCCAAATGTCCATCAGTAATAGACTGGATAAAGAAAATGTGGCACATATACACCATGGAATACTATGCAGCCATAAAAAACGATGAGTTCCTGTCCTTCATAGGGACATGGATGAATCTGGAAACCATCATTCTCAGCAAACTGACACAAGAACAGAAAATCAAACACTGCATGGTATCACTCATAGGCGGGTATTGAACAAATAGAACACGTGGACACAGGGAAGGGAGCATCACACACTGCGGACAGTTGGGGGAGACTAGGGGAGGGGTAGTGAGGGATAATGTGGGGAGAAATACCAGATATAGGTGATGAGGGGAGGAAGGCAGCAAGCCACCTTGCCATGTAACAATCCTGCATGATCTGCACATGTACCCCACAACCTAAAATACAATTTTTAAAATTAGGCACATGCTAAATGCTGAAGATATGATAAACAACAACAAACACGGTATCTGCCCTCTGACAGAACTTAGAATTTCTAGTGAGCTATGAACATTAATCAATAATCACCAAAAATGCCAGAATATAATTGCACACAAAAATCAATGCAGTGAAGGCAACATGCATGGTTCACTGACATTTGAAAAAAGAGTGAAATGTACCCTTCTAGGTGATACGAGGGGTTCAAGGAGATCCAGAAGTAGAGGGACGAACACATGTAAAGGATATTGTGACTAAAGGTAAAAGACCAAGGACAGGAGTGGTACAAGTTGAGGCTGCAGATACAGGCAGAGGCTGGGCTGTGCAAGACTTCACAGGGCCACCAAGGCTTCAAGTCTATTCTAAGCACAACAGGAAACCATGAAAGGGTTTCATGCCGAGTCTTCAGGTTGAGGGAGCCATGCTGTGTGTGGTAAAATTCATTTTGAAAAGAATATTTGCAATTATTTTAGTGCATAAACTTTCTCCTGGGTGTGTCTGATATCTGACTCTAGATAAAGATTTGATGACAATGAAAGTAGAAGTGGGCCATGAGGGAAACTGGCCTGCCTCCCTTCGCAAAGTAGATGAGTTTGTTACAGACGTTTAAGCAAATCGGCCTCATCAGACATAATATTTGGAGCTGGTGCTGCCCTAAGAGAGTCTCATTGGAATCTAGGTATTTAGGGATTTGAGGATTCAGTAAATCATTTAAATCTTCCCAAGCATCCTAATTCCAATTATCAGGGTCTGTTTCCCAATCCATTTCATAATTTTCTCTGGTTGTGAATTCATACATTTACATAAATTCTTTAAATTCAGTCTGCAGTATAATTCATAGATCTATATGATCAGATATTTGATTTATGGTCAGAACAGCCTTGTGAATACAAGAGAAAATATATTATCTTAGGAAAGTGTAAAATGCTCCTGACTTTTTGACAGAGATTTTACCCAAAGATTTAAAATCTTGAGCTCACCATTGCTTTATTGTAAGCCATGTGACATGATTAGAAGCAGCCATTCTACCCCAAAGCCCTTATATTCCTCACTATCTTCAGAATTTTTGCTGTCAAAAGCCACTCACTTTGTTCAGACTTTGCACTTCTTTCCACACAGCTGCAGCTGAAATTTAAAGGCCACTTCACCCATTTGCCATGGATCATCAGCGTCCCATCCAGTCCTCACTTCCTTAAAACTCAACTACAAATTAGATTATGTTAAAATCAAGAAACCCTATTCATCAAAGACACCATTAGGAGAACATAAAGGAAATCCTCAGAGTGAAAGAAGATATTTGCACCAAATATAACCAACAAAGAGTTGGTGTCTTACTAGTTGGTAAGAAAAAGACAGATAACCAAGGAGTGAAATGAACAAGAAACTTGGTCACTTCAGAAAAGAGAATTTTCAAATATCAGACCATTGTATGAAAAGATGCTCTACCACTGGACCCCTTCCTGACACCTTACACTAAAATTAACTCCAGATGGATTAAAGACTTAAACATAAGACTTAACGCCATAAAAACCCTAGAAGAAAACCTAGGCAAAACCATTCAGGACATAGGCATGGGCAAGGACTTTAGGACTAAAACACCAAAAGCACTGGCAACAAAAGCCAAAATAGACAAATGGGACCTAATTAAACTCCAGAGCTTCTGTACAGCAAAAGAAACAATCATTAGAGCGAACTGGCAACCACGAGAATGGGAAAAAATTTTTGCAATCTACCCATCTGACAAAGGGCTAATATCCAGAATCTACAAAGAACTAAAACAGATTTACAAGAAACAAACAAACAAACCCATCCAAAAGTGGGAGAAGGATATGAACACTTTTCAAAACAAGACATATATGAGGCCAACAAACATGAAAAAATGCTCATCATCACTGATTATTAGAAAAATGCAAATCAAAACTCCATTGAGATACCGCCTCACGCCAGTTAGAATGGCAATCATTAAAAAATCTGGAGACAACAGATGCTGGAGAAGATGTGGAGAAATAGGAACACTTTTACACTGTTGGTGGGAGTGTAAACTAGTTCAACCATTGTGGAAGACTGTGTGGTGATTCCTCAAGGACCTAGAAATATAAATTCCATTTGACCCAGCAATCCCATTACTGGGTATATACCCAAAGGATTATAAATCATTCTGTTATAAAGACACACACATGCATATGTTCATAGTGGCACTGTTTACAATAGCAAAGGCCTGGAACCAACCCAAATGCCCATCAACAATAGACTGGGCAAGGAAAATGTGGCATATGTATACCATGGAATACTATGCAGCCATAAAAAACGATGAGTTCATGTCCTTTGTAGGGACATGGATGAATCTGGAAACCATCATTCTCAGCAAACTGACACAAGAACAGAAAATCAA